GATCTGGAATACACAGTCTTAGAAAACTGGGCCTATACTTTCGAAACTCTCTTAGCGCTAAGATAGTCGTACGTTAATGAATGGCACTTATGACTATCTTAGCACTAAGAGAGCTTAAAAAATCTAGGCCCTGGTTTTCAAGAGTTGCTTGCAAAGGGGGCAGTGGTGTAGCCTTGTGGTTAAAGCATTTGTTTAGTATGACGAAGACACGGGTTCAATTCCCCACATGGGTACAAGGGTACAATGGGTGAAGCCCATTTCTGGAATATTGCTAAAATGGTGTCAAACTAAAACTCACTCACTCACTATATGCAAAGCTTATGAATCAAGATACAACTACATACCCTCAGTATCTAATCATGGTTTAAAAGTAAAACAGATGTTAACAAATCACAGAGACGTATTTGATTACCTCAGTCAGCAAGGATAACAAATTGATGGTGGTTTGAGTAACTATTGTATCTGTTTGCAACTGTTGTACATATCACTTGACCCAAGTGACATGTTGATCTCGTAACATGGTGTATAGTGGCTGATATCTACATGACTAACAGGTGTATATACATAACACTGAGAGCACAAACCTGGGGTGTTGACAGCTGTCTACATATCAGCTAGGACATCTGTTACTTGTATATTTCACATTTGCAATAAACGTGTCAAATATATTTCACTTTTCAATAAACACTTAAAATATTGTTCATATTTGCTATAAACACTTAAAATAAACTTTTATGTGAAATAAACTCTTGAATTTACCTTTGGATAATGAAGTTGTATTTTATTAAATAGATTTCGCATTTGTAATAAACCATTTGAATAAATGATATAGAAATGTGAAATAGATTTGAAGTGTTAATTTCACAATATCCAGTGATCAACAGCATGAGCATTGATCTGCGCAATTGGGAACCGATGACATGTGTCAACCAAGTCAGAGAGCCTGACCACCCGATCCCGTTAGTTGCCTCTTACGACAAGCATGGGTTAATGAAGATCAATATTCTAACCTGGATCCTGGGTCAAGAGGCAACTAACAGGTAGTGGTCAGGCTCACTGACTTGGTTGACACATGTCATCATATCCCAATTGCACAGACCCGTGAAGGTCCGGGTTAGAATATTGATCTTCAGTAACTCATGCTTGTCGTAAGAGACGGCTAACAGAATCGATTGTCAGGCAAACATGTCATCGGTTCCCAATTGCTCAGATCGATGCTCGTGCTGTTGATCACTGGATTGTCTGGTCCAGACTCGATTATTTACAGACCACCGCCATATAGCTGGGATATTGCTGAGTGTGGCGTAAAACTAAACTCACTCACTCACCAATTGCACAGATCGATGCTCATGCTGTTGATCACTCGATTGTCTGCTCAAGACTTTTACAGACTGACGCCATGTAGCTGGAATATTGGTCAGTGTGACGTAAAACTGACCTCACTCACTCCTACTTTGACCAAATTGGTTGTGTTTTAATATGACATTCAGTGCAGTATGTATTACTACAAGATATGAAACTGAGTTTGCCTAATGTTTTCTGATCTGAATGGTGAGGATAACATAACAGTAAATTCCACTGTGTAATATTGGAGTAATAGATTATAAAAGTTCATTTGTGTTTTTTTTAATAAAAACATAAACATACATTATAAATCACCCTTAGGTTGGCCATTAACCACTATAAAACAACAGTTCAACATCATACAATGACTGTTTACAGATAAAGTAAGGTAAAAATTGGCATTTTTTAATACTAATTTACTAAACTGTTTTAAGCAGAACACTTGCTCTGACACTAACAATTTCTGAGACTAATAATATATACTGACATACAAAAGAAAGTATACAACCGAAAACTGCATTTGATTGAAACATTACAAACATTACGAGTGAGTGAGTGAGGGAGGGAGGGAGCGAGGGAACGAGGTTTAATTCTGCCTTGAACAATATTCCAGTTATATCACTGCATGTTAAATTTGGAAGAAAACCCGAAGTGTTCATGGTTTCAGATGTTGACCTCTTTGGTGAAGCCAATAAACATATGGGGGCGGTGGGGTAACCTAGTGGTTAAAGCGATTGCTCGTCTAGCCGAAGACCCGGGTTTGAATCCCCACATGGGTACAATGTGTGAAGCCCATTTCTGGTGTCCCCCGCCGTGATGTTGCTGGAATATTGCTAAAAGCGGCGTAAAACCAAAACTCAGTCAGTCAGCCAATAAACATATGGTCCTACCAAACCTTGAAACAAAATCAAGGCAAACTGGTATTCGACCACACAATCACTGATATCTGGCAAAGCCAAGGCTCACAACTCTGCACAGTGAGTTGCAGTGCTTGTACTGGGCCACCCTGCTCTAGATCACCATGTGGAAAGGTTCCATCATATCCACTTCTCATCTGTATGAAATGACAGATTTTAAATATTCATAACTGGCATTTTACTTCAGTCTATTGGCCCTTCAGTACAATATTGTTCACAGAACATGTGTAGGAAGATAGAAGATGCTTTCAAGGCCTCACCTTTAAAATTATAAATCTTTAATAAGATATTTCATCTTTATAAAATTTTATAACTGAAGTGTACGGATTAGCTTATTTACCTGACTCTTTATGGCATAATCTCTTGGTTGTTGGTAATTGTAGCATTCAGAAATATACCAGTTATATGATATAAACATTAGAGGAGGACAAGACAAACCAGTGAGTGATATTACGAGCAAAGTCCCATGACCTTAGCATATAAGATGACAGGCACTCAACAAATTCTGATAAGACTTGGGGCAATGGGGTAGCCTAATGGTTAAAGCGGCACGTCACGCTGAAGACCCGGGTTCGAATCCCTACATGGGTACAATGTGTGAAGACCATTTCTTGTGTCCCCTGCTTTGATATTGCTGGAATATTGCTAAAAGCGGCGTAAAACCATTCTCATTAACTGATAAGGCCTAAAAAAACAATGTTGTGGTTCCGATTACCAGACCGACCCCTTGAATTCTGGTGCCGACCCTATTGTTTTTAGGTGAACTGAATAAAATAAGCTATACCATTGTTGACAGATACCAGATACCAGATGACATCGGTCATTCTTCTGATAGAGAAAGTCGATATGATCGCCGCAAGCTTGATTGAATAAACAATTACTCATTGATACATGAGTTATTAGTTTGTACTTTCCTTCTAAAAAAAACATGTTCCTAACAAACAAAAATTCCTACCTACGTACCCTAAATTTTAAAGAGGTGTAATTGGAACCACAACATTTTATTTATTTGGCCTAATCAATACTTCTAATCCTCATTCCCACAGTGTAATTTTTTAAATAATAATCATTAGAGTTGATTTGGTTTCAATTGATTTTGAACACTTGCATGACAGAATGTCACCTTATTGTGGAAATAGCACCAAGTGAATTGGGTCATGGATTTTCATAACTTTAGTAAACAACCAATCACTGGGGAACATGGTGCAAGAAAACCAAGGACCATTGATTAGATTGGTTGGTTGGTTGTTTTACATCGCACTCAGCAATATTCCAGCTGTATGGCAGCGGTCTGAAAATAATCAAGTCTGGACCAGACAATCCAGTGATCAACAGCATGAGCATCAATCTATGCAATGTGGATACCAGATGATCAACCAAGTCAGCAAGCCTGACCACCCGATCCCGTTAGTCACCTCTTACAAACAAGCATGGGTTACTGAAGACCAGTTCTAACTCGGTTCTTCACGGGTCCCTTTGATCGGAACAAAATCGGGGATTTGAACCCAAGTCAGCTTATCCTGACAGCATGGGTTATGCAATGTTTTCTTCAATTATCTTCATTACTTTGGCTTACACTTAAAAATAACTGACAGTGTATTGGTTTGGAAGCTGTCATTGAAAGTATTTTGGAAACATTTCCAAAGAACACTCTTTAGGTGAGACAATATTTATTTATGAAATAGGAACATTATCCTCATTTACCTGGCAAAAAATATAGGTATAGCAGCTGTTGCTTTATCAAAATCGAAGAGTGAATGAGTGAGTTGTGTTTTATGCCTCTTCTAACAATATTCCAGCAATATCACATCGGGGGACACCAGAAATGGGCTTCACACATTGTACCCATGTGGGGATTCGAACCCGGGTCTTCGGCATGACGAGCTATCGCTTTTAACCACTAGGCTACCCCACCGCCCCTAATTGTACAGCATATGAGTGAGATATATTTGCCATAATGCTTCGACAGGAGATTACCACCATGAATGCCGAGGCAGAATTCGAAGTGACAGGGTGATTGGTAACTTGTAAACATCATTGACTGACTTGTATGAAGCATTTATACATAGCGACAGTCACTTGTCAGAAATGACAGGAGATGATTGGAATGGTATTGTAATCATAATTGACTAACTTATACGAAGCATTTATACATAGCGGTATGACATTGAAAATAGCAGCTATTTTCATGTGCATCAGCTATTTTCATGTGTGATTCACTTGAAGAGAGATGAGAGAGTGTTTCATCCAGTGTTTTGCAGTATTCCAGCAATTTCACAGCATGGGACACAAGAAATGGGACACATAAGTTAAAGGGAATGGACCATGGACAACTCTCTCGTTAAAGGAATCTCTCTCTCTCTCTCTCTCTCTCTCTCTCTCTCTCTCTCTCTCTCTCTCTCTCTCTCTCTCTCTCTCTCTCTCTCTCTCTCTCTCTGACTCTCTCTCTCTCTCCTAATTAAGTTGACGCTCTCTGATAATTATGTTGATGCTCTGCTCTATAAATGATACCTCTCTGCGTGATTGTGTGATTATATCACAACCCTTATACAACACAATACAAACCTACAAAGCCGCATGCTTCGAGTGACAGTTCATCCACAGTCGTTACCCAGCTGATAATTCAACGCGCCTCATCACACGTACTGCACCCAGCCTAGAGATTCACCGTATCTCGATATGCACTATGCAAACATTCCTTGATAAGACAAAACACATATCAACTGCTGACAGACCTACCTTTCGTCCAAACACCCACTTGTAAATCCAGCGTCTTGCAGGTCTAACTACAAGCAGTGTCAACTCCGTAGATTGCCGACAGTATACGTTAGGCTCTGTCAACCATATGCGCATGCGTTGGAGCCTGGCTCAGCAAAGTGTTGTATTGCATTTATATGGAATTCGTGGTAATTTGTCTTGTTCCAAGGATAGAATAGATTATGTTTGCAACCGGGATTCAGGAACTTTTTTGTTTAGATGCGAAACATCTCTTAGCCTGTCCTTCGATGTCACATGATATTCGGGTGGAGAAATTAGACTTCAGCATTGATAAGTCACCCGTGACCGGCGAAATATGTCAACAGGCGAGTCCTTGATGTTTTGTGTGTGAGGGTCTATATTTGGGGGACAGCTTGGTACGAAAGATAATTGATTTACAATTTCTTGGAATTAATTATCTAAGGTGTGTGATCTTCTATAGTTTTATCAAAACGATGGTCGGAATTCGGGTTTGCACTCGTTCTCAAGAACCTAAAGGGCGGTGGGGTAGTCTAGTGGTTAATGCGTCCGCTCGTCAGATCGAAGACCCGGGTTCGATTCCCCACACGCTTACAATGTGTGAAGCCTATTAACGCCCCGTGATATTGCTTGAATATTGCTAAAAGCGGCGTAAAACCATACTCACTCACTCTAGAATCTGTGCGATTAAAGGCAACGGAGCGATGGTCACACTCACTGACGTGGTTTGTCACGTGTATATCCCATTTGCATAGATCGATGCTCATGACGCCAATCACTGGGTTGTCTGGTCCGGACTCGATTATTTGTCGCTTTTTTATTCAAATCAGGTATGTGTGCCTGCTTTACACAATCTCCTAAATTGTTTATATTGTGTCAGTTTCCAATCCTCATTGCTTATATCATATTCTCCTATACCGTATCACGTTGCTTATTTAATCATGCTGTGATCAATATCTGTCAAATATAGAAGATATTAATAACCTCGGCGTGAAGAAGCTCTAGATCCGCACTGTGTTCAAATTTCACCACAGCGTGGCTGTACTTGTAGTTTGAACGGAACGACTGATCGAATGGATTGGCTTGGTTTGTTGTTTAACGCCGCACTCAGCAATATTTCAGCTATATAGCGGCTGTCTGTAAATAATCCAGTCTGAACCAGACAATCCAGTGATCAACAGCATGAGCATCGATCGACGCAACGGGGATACGATGACATGTGTCAACCAAGTCAGCAAGCCTGACTACACGATCCCATTAGTCGCCTCTTACGACAGGCATGGGTTACTGAATTCTAGCCCGGATCTTCACGGGTCTGATCGAATGGACTATACGCTCACGTTCAGTAATCGGTCGTGCCACGGCGATCCGCATTGTCTGGAGCTGGAAGCGTTCTGGAGACGGATGCTACCAAGCTCAAACGGCGATAGGTTTATTACCGTCTTACACCCTGCTGACATGGTTGGACGTGTCAAACGACCAGGGAAAATTATTTTCTTGGGCGTTGTTATATGATTGCCATTTGCCTGAGTGTGCCTGAACCTGGTTTTGTGCAGTTTTAGCAATATTCCAGCAATGTCACGGCGGGGAATACCAGAATAGGACTTCACGAATTGGGGAATGAAACCCTGGTCTTAGCGAGGCGACCAGATGAATTGGGTGGTCACGCTCGGTGACATGGCTTCGTGTCAATGTACACTCCGGTCTGTATCGTTGCTCATGATATCAATCACTGGCTTGTCTTGTCCAGATTAAGGTTCGCTGACTTGGTTGACACATGTAATTCTTTCCTATTTGCGTAACTCGATGGTCATGTTATGACGTATGGTATATTTGGTATTACACTTTCTCAGTAAAGTACAGATTCTTGTACCTTTGTTGGGTTGAGTCCCATCCAGGATTCGAACCCACACTCTCAGAGCCAGGCACCTAATCGCCAGCACACAAAGCCAGCCGTCTAACCCGCTCAGCCAGCGCAACTTCCATGATCGATGTTCATGATGTTGATCACTGGATTGTCTGGTCCATACTCGATTGTTAACAGATCACCGCCATATAGCTGGAATATTGCTGAATGCGGCATAAAACAACCAACCAACCAACCAACCATTCTGATCAATGGTCCTTGGTTTTCTTGCACCATGTTCCCCAGTGATTGGTCATTTACTAAACTAAACCAAATCTTGTCCAGATTGGATTGTTATCACTGGAAGTGAACATATAGCTGTAATATGAATACGAGTTTCATGCAAACAAAAAAATGTGTATTTTGTATTTTCACAAATTTCAAACAACCGTACATTGGGCACCCCCATGTCGTACCTCAGGACAGTCAACCCCGGTTATACAAAACACATACAGTTGACGTATTGTATAACGAAGCGCTCTTTGTCTACCTGGTCACAATAATGACCAATGATCAATACCCGTGATTCTACAGTACCGACAGACTAAAGTGTAAATGTCTTGTTCACATTACATCGTAATATTACGGATTATATGATAGAGTATATGATATACTGCTTCAATAGCGTTGTCCATAACACACTTCCCCAAGGGTTGTAACAAAACATTCTTATAGATATTGGTTTGGCGTGTTGATGGTGTTGAGCAGTGGGAAGAAGGATTATCCTGATTAAGAAGATTATCATTGTTACAATGTCGCAATCCGTTTTGTATTGGTTCAGATTAGGAACAAATGTTTGCTCGGGCCCGAGGTGTTGGATTTAATCGTTTGTTTCATGCACGTTAGATGATGCTGTTGGAATAGTATTAGGCACGAATGAGTGAGCGAAGAGCGTGACCGATAGGGTGCTTTGTGCATGAAGCGGGTGCGTGCATGAGGCGTGTGCGCGTGCGTGCGTGTGTGTGTGTGTGTGCATGCTCTGCTACATGACTGTCCCAGGCTCTGATGGAGTGGGAATTATGTATGCTGATACTGTTGCAGCCATTCATCTGGCTTCACAATGATAATGCTTGACTTACACTTAATTATATCGGGGCGGTGGGGTAGCCTAGTGGTTAAAGCGTTCGCTCGTCACTCCAAAGACACAGGTTCGATTCCCCACATGGGTACAATGTGGGAAGCCCATTTCTGGTGTCCCCCGCCGTGATATTGCTGGAATATTGCCAAAAGCGGCGTAAAACTAAAACTAAAACACTACATTATTTCAGAATTTAACGTAGTAAAAAACAACGGGTTAGTGAGGACATCTGTCGAGAAAGGAAAGGTTTTCTGAAGTGGAGGATGTAAATCGATATATATAGATGTAACGTCTGGGAAGGTTGAGAGAGATGCTATATGGAGAAGTTAGAGGCTTTATGGTGGATTCAGGAAGGTGAGGCTGTTTGTGTGACTCTTTCTCTCATGGCAATATTCCAGCAATATCACATCAGGGGACATTAGTAATGGGCTGCACACATTGTGAAGGGGATTAAAAATGGGCCTTGAAGTGACAAACCAACCAATATCTTGGATCTTACAAGTTTAGAATAACCCCTCAAAACAAAACCCTGCTAAACCACTGAATATCCAGAATTGTACATTTTTGAATGCTGTTGTCATCTACAAAACACTCTTCCCATCTTTCTCTCAGCATTCGGCAATGTACCAGCTATATGAAGACCAAATGAAAACAATCGACTTTATACCAGACAATCCAGGGACTGATGTGACGAGCACAGGGTCACTGGCATACAATGTCATGTATCAACCAGCCTTACCACTCGAGTCTGCCAGCATAGCCGGATCCAGAGGGCGAGCGCAGGGGTGCGCACCCCCCACCCTCCTTTGTCCTGAAAGTTTATTAAATGACCATTGAAACTCTCGTGAAAATGAAGTGTGCACCCCCACCTTCTCAAGAGTGTGTAATCCACACACACACACACACACACACACACACACACACACACACACACACACACACACACACACACACACACACACCTCTTCTTTCTCAAAAAGCTGTATCCGCCCTTGTCCTAGTCGCCTCTGTCCACATCCAGAAGACCTATAACTCGCTAGATTACTTGTCATCTTACCCCGAAGGTGTTGATCGGTAGTTGTACTATACTCCCCATCAAAAGTTTAGACTCACTAGTATAAATGTAGCAACTTACTTCAGTCAAAATTGGCGAATTCTTAACAAAACTTTACACCAAACCGCAGCTGTTCCCATGAACGATATTTACACATGCTTTTTAGCAATTCGATGCATGATCCTCGTACAATTCATCTGCATAAAGCTTGCAGTTGGTCCCCCCAAGTTAGTGGAGAAACTCATCTTCGATGTAACCATATATATATACATAACATATAGTGAGTGCTTTAGGTGGGTCTAAACTTGATGGCTAGTATATAATCACTTGTTTGTCTGGCCCACACACGTTGGTCGTCTCGAAATCCGGTTAACTGGAACCTTTTTCCAGGTCCGCAAGGGTTCGACACTATTTAGATGAGACTCTTGCCGACTTGGTCGTTAATTGAGTCATTCACACACTTCTAAAAATTACGAATCCTTCACTTAATACCGTTTCTTATAACATTTCACAGCGTAATATATATTGTCTTGTTTCGCCAACATCTGCCAAGCAAGAACTAAAGTTGATTTGCGCGAAAGAAGTAAAAATCATGGAAGCCTTTTGTGTTAACATGTATCTGAACAGGAACCGGGAGGGCTGAATTCATTCCATCTGATCCTTAAATCGATGATAATGCAACGAGCTCAATTTTCAACTGTCCAGACGAACGTAAACGTATTACAGTTTGACTGGTCACTGACCTCTGCTGCGCCGACAGACGGTATCCAGCTGGGGCCGTTCTAACAATGTTCTTTCATCACGCGATCCACAGATAATTTCATAAATAGTCACACGAAACAATATTTAGCATCATTAAAAACAATGTTTATGTTTTATATATGGTGACGAATGTTGTGAAATACGTGATCTTTATAAACAACCAGGAACCCTATTCTCGTAACGTTCGTAGGCCTTAGAACTTCTCGACAGTCATTCAGCACAATGAGAAATGTCTCCTCAATATGAAATGGAGTTTTAATGCCCTAGATAAACGAGGATGTTCCAGAATAGCAGCCTGGGGTTCCAGACTACTATAGGTTTGTTATTCTATCATTTCTTTTCGATCATGAACTGAAGTTCGCGGCAACCTTTTGTCTGGCGAAGAAAACCGCCGGGCGAAACAAATAATCCACTTAAACTTGGATTTGACCTTAAGATTACAAGATCGTCGAAACGGTACTCGTCTGAAAGCAGTGGC